TTATTATTATTATTATTATTATTATTATTATTATATGTGTATATTATTATTATTTTCGTTTTTATTACTAATGTTAACATCATTACTGTTGTGGTCATTAATATTCCTCTTACTATTATTCCTAATGCTTCTATTGCTGATACTGTTACTGTTACTAATAGGGTTACTATTGTTATTGCTGTTGTTCCTACTGTTATTAATTTATCCTGCTCTAACTGTTTTTAATTATTATCAGTAATTTATATTGCTGTTCCATATGATCGTTTTTTTACCTCTTACTCCGCTTATTTGACTGACAGTTTGTAACTGAATGAACAAAGCAGAAATAAATAATGGAAGAGATAATAAAAAAAAAATTACTCTTGGTAGTAATAATAGATGATGGAGGTTTTAAGAAGATAATGGCACAAACCATTAGATTTTAGACATATTTTTTAAGATCTATGTAGAAAAAAAAAAAGAAAAAGAATTGCTCAACAACAACATTGACACCAAAAATGCTCGACTACTTTTATTCTGTACAGCAAACCATCAGAAGTAAACTATATTTCCATATTACTTATTATTTATTGTTTATTGGTTATTGTTTATTATTTATTATTTATTACCTATTATTTTTTATTTACTATTTGTTATTTATTATTTATAGTTCATTGTTCATTATTTATTGTTTTTTATTTATTATTTGTTATTAGTTATTTCCTATTTGTTATTTATTATTTATTATGTATTATTTTTTTATTTTTTATTTGTTTTTTATTGTTTACTATTCATTATTTATTATTTATGACCTATTATTTATTATTTACTATTCGTTACTTGTTGTTTATTATTTGTTATTTATTATTTATCGTTTATTATTTATTATTTTATTATATATTATTTATTGCTTGTTATTTATTATTTATTATTTGTAGTTCATTGTTCGTTATTTATTATTTGTTATTTGTTATTTGCTTTTTATTACTTATTATTTGTTGTTTATTAATTCTTATTTGTCATTTATTATTTATTATTTGTTGCTTATCATTTATTATTTATTGTTCACTGTTTATTGTTTATTGTTTATTATTTATTATGCATTATTTATTATTTTATCATTTGTTATTTATTGTTATTACTCTTATTATTATTATTATTATTATTATTATTATTATTATTACTGATTCCGAAAAATCTCAAAATTAATTTATTATTATTGTCTTATTATTATTATTATTATTATTATTATTATTATTATTATATTATTATTATTATTATTATTATTATTATTATTATTATATTATTATTATTATTATTATTATTATTATTATTATTATCATTATTATTATTATTATTGTTATCATTATTGTGATTGTTATTATTATTATTACTATTACTATTATCACTATTACTATTATTACTATTAT